TAAATTGATAAAGCATACCTCCAAATTCTCTACTGCTCATGTGTAATCATGAATAATAAAAAGGTACTGCAGGCAAAATTAGATGTGATACCCATGTAATGTTTTCAGCACAAAAGTTCTTACCAAGAAATTAGTTTATAATTCTGTAGTAATATAGGAAATTTCTGAAAAAATAGCAGAGGAAGTATCTAAACAGTTATGGTAATATATATGACCCTGAATATACAAAGGGAGTGGATCTATATATCAGAAAATTCCACTTGAATACAGGTAGCTTTTGAGATGAAAACTATGCCACTGTTATTATTTTCAAATTACAGTAAGGATTATAAGAGCCCAGTTGTTCTTTCCACAGATTAAATGTTAAGATCGTTGACAGAATGTTAGTTTCTGTTTTGCCCTATACCCATTGCTACATCTTGATGTCAGTGTTAAGGACTGGGATTCCAATGTACGAATCAAATGCAGAAGTAAAATTGAAGTGGCTAAGCTTCAAAGATCTTAGAACCTGAGGCTAAATCAAGCGACAACAGAAAGAGATGGACCCCAAATAAACCAATTTTCAACAGTTCTCCCTAGGACTAGGCTAACGGCTTAGACTTCTAATTATCTAGCTATTTAATTGTTTTAAATGTTAAGTCGAAGACAGATTTGCTGAACACAAGCCATGAAAATGTGTGGGTTTTGTTTGTTTGTTTTTTAATTTCACAATTGAGCAATATACCTTTCCATCCTTGCATGGCTGCAGATTAAAGTCACTTTCTCTGACTGAATGACAGAGAACAATTAGGCCAAATTTATTCTTTGTGGTACTTCAAAGAAGGTAGCTTATGTTCAATGCAAGTCAAAGCAAAGAATCAGAAAATTATTGCTAAAATGAGATATTTAGGAACAGGGAGGGTAAATCAAATTCAATTTTAATTACTCTAGAGGTTGAATGGTCTACTATAGACTTGGTTTCCTCTTACCTCTAAATGTGCTTGACTGTTATTCTGTGAGAAAACATCATTCACTGCTCTGATAGTATGTGTAACAGTCTACAATCATTAATGTTCTATGTAAAACAGAAAAATTCTAATAGCTGTTCAGGAAATATGATGTTTGGGTTTTTGTGGTTTTTTTTTTTTTTTGTCTCAAAGCAATTTTCGATCTCCCTTTTACAGATAGGAAAACAAAGGCAAAGAGAATGAAGAAAGCTGACCCAAATGACTCAAGACTAGCTGCAAAGACAGAAAATGAAACAACGTATCTTAAGTTCAGAATCTCATTTTATAGACCAACTGATCTACAATTAGTTGTACAAAACATCAGAGAGATGTAGATAGCAGTCACACAATACTGAAAAAACATCAAACCCTCTCAAACAGATCTTATGGTTTTAATCAACATTTACCACGTCTAGATTATAAATCAATACAGGAAAATTACTCCAGGTATCAGTGACCTAGGCAGGATTTAGCCTTCATTGTCATCTAGGCCAGGATATACTGAGGTATCTATATATCTCGTGTATTGGAAGGGAAAAACAGAAAGGGAAAGGAAAAAGAGAAAGGGAAAGGGAACATTTCCAAGAAAAGAGCAATCAGGTGAACCTAAGGATTTTCTAAGATATTTGGATATTTTTTTCCCGTGGAACAGTAATAATAGAAGTATGGACTGCAGGCATCATTTTGTTTTATTTTTATTATTTATTTAATTCATTGTTTTTGTGAGATGCCTATTCAGGTAAGAGGCCAACAGAACTGATTTCTACTAGCTACAGGTAGCATCCAATTGATTCAAGTTTGCATTGAGCTGCAGATACTCATACAGAGCTCATACTCATGCAGAGCTCATACTGAACTAAATGAAAAATTAGAAAAGCATTGCTAGCCTGCCTCCATTCATCCACAGGAAGGAAGGTAAATGAAAGTCAATGCTCTCATTAGACCTTGTAATACAGTTCCACATATCTTCATTTAAGCTGGTAGCTGGGGAAGAAAGTGACAGACTGCCTTAGACTAGGTGAATCTCACTCAGCCCTATCATCTAATCCCACATTCCTTCACTGAAGAAGATTTTGCTGAGTCTGCTGGACCAGAGATCAGGTGCCTAAAAGATTCAGAATTCAAAACAGAGAGTATCACTGTATCACTGAGTTTAGCTTAATGTACCACAGCTCATAAGTCTGACAAAAGTATCTTAAATAAGAGTGCATATCTATTTCAGAAACACAGCGAGATGGAAATTTACAACTTCCTGCCATAATTTGTCCTGCATCCTCACTGCTGAAAAGTCCTGTCCAGCATTTGTTTGGCTTCACTATTGTATGTATTCTGCTTTCCTTTGCTGCGTTGAAGAATCCCCTTGTTCCCAGTCTCCCCACAGAAATACACTGTCATTATGAGAGAGAGAGAGAGAGAGAAACGTCTCTCTCTGGAGGAATTTTTCTCTGTTCTAGTCTATATTCTCTCTCTGAAAATATATATTCAGTAACTTTTAAAGGTATGGACCCTAGAATTTGGCACAACAATATGAAACAAGACTCTTGTTTTATATACAACTATAATCTTATCCTTATTCTTCCCTTAATCATCTAACATTAAAAGATCATTGCTTAAACCTTTGCTGAGCTGCCCGTTCTTTAGTCTGAAACCACCTCACAGTCATCTATTTCCAGGTTAGGGGTTCCCTCTCTGTTTGTGTGGATGACATTTCTTCCCTCTGCCTGTGTAATCCTTCTCTTCCAGGTAATAAACACTTTGTTTGAATAGATTCTGCTGACCAGGCCAGACTGTAACTGGACTGCTCCATCTGACTTCTCCCTTCTCTTCTATTTTTTAAATCTTTGCATGATCTGCAAATCTTGCCATTCATGAATTTGTGCCACCTTCCAAGTCAGTTCAGCTAACATTGAAACATGTCGTCTACAGCCAATTCTAAATCATGGAAACTATCTCTCAGTATTTCCATGAAAGGGCCGTTTATCATGTACTGGTACTTTTCTATGTCAGCTAATCAGTCCTTAATGAGTATAACTTTGATAAAGTATACTGTTATTTATTAAAATAAGATACAGTGTAATATTAAATCAAATGCCTTACTAAAACCTTTACAACATTTAGGGACATTCATCTAACAAATTCACAGTCTGAAATGAAGTTTATCTGATATAATTGCTTTGCTTTAAACCTATGCTGAATATCATCAACTTATTCTAACCATAAATTTATTATTATGCTTGCTTTTTCAGCTAAACATTCCTTAATCATGCCAATATTTTTTCCCAGAGATGACTTCTAGCTAACCTGCTCTGCAGATTTATTTTTTTTTTAAATAAAAATAAATAGCACAATACTGACACTCTAGAATTTCAAAAATATTCCACATATCTCTTCAGCTTAATTTTTTTATGGCTCTTAGGCGAAAGTTAACAAGTAATGAGCTTTCTAATTTACTTATTTTATCACCAGCAGATGTTGTTTAACATGCTTTTAAAGATTCAGTGCTGTTTGCATAGTAGGGACACTGGATCTCCTACTACCATATGGGCTTGTTAAGGAGCAAACAGCACTTGCCTCCTACTGTGTGCCACTCAGTATTGAAGAGCTTTTTGTTCATCTTTGTGTGAATAAATGACATGATTAATTAAAGAGTGACTGACTAGCTTCATTTTTTTTCTTTGAAGGTGTTAAAAAAGCAGTAAGAATTAGTTATGTGCATCCAAAATATACCAAGAAATAAATTTCATTAGGCCATTTTCAAAATCATAGTAGGCAGAAACAGAGTGTTAAGATACAGACGGTAAGAATTCTTATTCATTACATTTAACACTGAATTCAACCTTAAGTTACCCATATTTTTTCCCCTATTATTCTTGAAAATTACTTAAACATCATTAGCCATTATAAATTGATGTCCACCTGGCAGAGTGCTCTGCAAGGGTCACTTAGAATGATCATCTGTCTATTTATCCCTGTGTCTTGCTAACTCTGAAATCAAAAGATAGCAATTTGGACATCAGCAACATATCAGTGTAGACTACATTTACCAGAAATATCCCATTAGTGTGCATTATCCTGAAATCTTAACGTGTCTCCTTTTCCTCCTGAGATTCCAAAGGACCCAGCTGGCAAGAAACCAAAATATCAAGTTTCTCCCATGTCTATTACGATAATAGCAGGAGGTCATACACTGAAAGCTGAGAACACAAATGCAGCATAAAGCAAATCGAATATTTTGATAACAGAAATGTATGGAGGTTTGTATCCTCATGCAATAGAGTCGTCTTTTTTTTTTTTTTTTTTGAATTGGAGTTTTTTTATTGTAATAATTTCAATGATAACTCCTTTACTAGAAAGGCTGTTTGATAAAAAGAAATATCTTCATCAGTGCTGCTGTCTGTCAGGTTTCTCAAGTCCATGACAGCTTTAGCATTCAACATAAATACGCTTAATTTTCCTTTCCCAGGAAAGCCTGCCTACTACACTCATAAACTGATGGTATCACTTCAAGGCGAATAGAGAATAAATAAATTTCGAAAAGATAAAACTTGAAATTTTCCTCACCACAGAAGATATGTAAAATCTAGGCATTTATACCTGTTATTTGACTGCAAAGAATTTGTAGGCAATGGAGAGAATTCTAGACAATGGAAAGAGACAATCATTTTTAGGACACAATCCACCTCAATCTATAGGAGACACCCAAAGCCAGTATGAAATGCGATCAGGAAGAGTCATTTAATATCATGGCAATATTGTTGACTTGGTCAGATGTCAAAAGCCAGGTGAGGCTAAATTGTTTTTCTTAAAAGAGCAAATTATTTTCAGTTTAATCACTGAGTAGTGAGTAATCACGGGTAGCTGAGGCAAAATTTTTGTGCCTCAGAATCTTGTCAATTATTGAGGTGTTCAACAAAGAAATTGAAAACACAAACAAAAACAAAACTATGAAGCAGCAGTCCAGAAACTATTGCCTTTCCTCACTTTTATCCCCACAGCTCAGTTCACTACTCTCACCTGTGCATTAGTCCATTCCATTTCAGGGAAAGGTCCCAGCTGAAGGCCTCTACCTGTGGGATTCTCTTCCTCTTGGCCTTTCTGGAAGTACATAGAGACATCTACTCAGACACGTTCCAAACTCAGATTTTTCATTATGCTTGCATATGGTGCTTAGTTGTGTACTTTCTCTTCCCAGTTTGATTTTCAGGGGTGAGGAGAATCTGTTGCTATAACTGCTCTGGGAATTAATCTGGCATACCATCTATTCTTTTCAATCTCTAAATACTCTCTGAAGTGCCTAGAGGCTATTTAACATAAATGAAAAAGCATTATGTTCTATAATATTCAATGTGTTATTGATTAGAAATGCCTGTGGAATAGTTATTTTTCCTTCAAGGAAGAACAAGCAAGGAAGAAATATTTCATGAGAATTAACACTGCACTACTTTATTTCAGTATATTTTCAGTATGAAACATCTACCAATCACAAGTAATTATTAGCAAATCAAGCAAAAATGCTATAAAGGAATGAATAAATATTCTCTTTACAGTCCACCTCTTTCCAGCTAAAATTAGAAATAATCCTGCTTCTTTTACATTTTAAAACTGACTGTATACATTATCTTTATGAATTTGTGATGTTTATAGGAAACTATACATTCAGTTTTAACCAACAGTGGGGTTATTTATTTATTTATTTATTCATTTATCTATCTATCTATTTGCTGTGAGTTGGAATTGCAATGCAATGCAATGAATTCACACCCCTGACTAGGCATGAGCCAATGCCATTGCAGAAAACAACAATAGTAGAGATCCCTGTAAGTAACAGGGAGAGCTGTGTGGCAAGGATCACAGTGTAAATAATAAAACTACTTTGTCTTTAGGTCGTTAGTTCAGCATCTATTAGCTTTTTTTTTTTTTTTATAGAACATTTAACTCCTAGAGTACTCAAATGCATTTTTATGAAGTTCTTATTCTTTACATGTATGTGAAAAGCTTACATCCATCTTGTAGTGTATTACTTTAAGGATTTATATATATATATTATTAAAAATTATAACTTATTAAATGTAAAAGGACAAAAAGCACCTTTTTTTTTTTTTTTTTTCCCCACTATCTCCTGTAATATCAAGACATTTCACTTACAAGCACTAGGTAAACAAGACATTCAAGGAAGTCTTAGGACACTGTCAGTATAAAGAATGGCTACTAATTAAAAAAAAAAAAAAAAAAAAAAAGGTGTACAACATTTTATTATTACATATAGTCTAAGGAAAAGAGACTTCTGGCTCTGATTTGAAGCATTACTGCTGTCATAACACAGTACTGTTAAGAGCTGACGTTCATAGTGATGCTGTGAAACTTGACGCACTTGGATGTGGGCTAAGAACAGAGTCCTTTCAGACATGGGAAGCTGCTGCTAATAGTTCAGAGCTCAAAGGTACTGGATCATCTTTGGAGGATGCATTCGCACCTTGCTTTGGTCAGCATGGATTTAAATCTGAATATTCAATCAAACTCATTTGGACAGGATATTTTGACATAACTTTTCTTAGAGTAACTTTTCTTATCACATAATGTAATGCATAGTCTCTTAAATGTAGAAGTGCTCATGGGGTGCTGAGAACTGCTCTGGAGAAAGAAATATCAGATATAAAAATAGAAAGAAAGGAACGTTTATATGGAGATCATTCTGTAAAAAGGAGTCAAGAATGAAGTTCTGTTGCAAAACAGTTTTCCTTCAAAACATTCCTGTGTATAAGGGCGTGAATTATAACTATTGAGTGTAATTACTGCCTATGAGAAAACAGTAGAACTGTATCATTTGGAGGACACTGTGTTCTAAGATAGGTACTGAACAAAAATGAAGGAAACCTGCACAAGAAGAAAGACAATAATGAGATATTTAGAATTCACACCATAGCAAAGACTGAAGACAGGATATTACATGGAGATAGTGATCAGTTGCCTCAAGATGGTATCTTGAGGCCAGAACCTCAAGATATCATCCTAAACTGGCTGCTGTGAAAAAAGCCCGTAACTGCTATGATGCTGAAATAGTGAAACGAAGCCTTTTCAGCCCCTGATACTATGATTCCATAGCTCTCATCAGTCAGAACTTTGGGTTTCCTGGTAATTTCAGCAATTTTATTTGGGAACCAGAGGAATAATAGCCAGCCAATGGGAAAAGGCATATATGTGTGCGTGTTTTCAAATCTGTATTGTACAAATTGTGTGGAGAAGAATTATGGTGTAGAAATGTAATCCTCTTTGTAAAATGCACTCATGAATAAAAGGAAGTAAAGGAGTATTTATAAACAGCAACATTTATAGGCTTTGTAGCGTATATTACAAATCTGGCAACCCTGAAGGTGAGTGTGAGTTTCACAAATAACATTTTTCTGCTGCCATTAGATGCATGAAGTTATCACTTTGTCTCCAGCTGCTGCTGCATAAGGATTACTTCAGAGGGCTGGAGCACCTCTTCTCTGAAGAAAGGCTGTGGGAGCTGAGCTTGTTGAGCTTGGAGAGGAGAAAGCTGTGGGGTGAACTCAATGTAGCCTTCCAGTTCTTTAAGCTTCTATGCAGGAGTGCCACTGACTTTTTACACAGCCTGATAGTGAAAGGACAATAGGAAATCGCTTCAAAAAGAAAGAGGGGAGATTTAGATCAGATGTTAGGAAAAAAAGTCTTTACTCAGAGTGTAGTGAGGCACTGGCATGGGCTGCCCAGAGAAGCTGTGGGTGCCCCATCCCGTTAGGTACTCAAGGCCAGGTTGGATGGGCCCTGGGCTGCCTGGGAAGCTGGTAGGGGGCAACCAGCTCACAGCAGAGCATTGGAACTGGATGGGCTTTAAGGTCTCTTCAAACCCAAACCATTCTGTGATTTTATGATTCTATGATTCATAAGGCCCTGGGCTTCTCTCTGACATTTTTAAAAGTTCTGTGAATACCTCAGATCTTGGAGGATATCTGAAGCAGTAGGAGATGCCTGGCTTAGAGAACTGAATCTCAACCCCAAGAAGATCCTCTATCTGATAATAGACAATGGAAATATACTAATTATTGTATATATTAAATATAAATGGATAAATCACCTTAAAGTCAAAGTTTTAAACAAGACCTAAGGAGAAATTGGATTCAATGTCCAAGTATTCGATTTTTAGAAGAGCTTATATATATTCATATTTAGCAGGCTGCCTGGAAAATTTCATTAATTTGTGGATTAAGGAAGAATTCATTTCTTGTCATGGAAAAGGAATGGCACATACACAGTAGTGGGAGGTCCCTTGGTCCTACAACGGTACCTTCATACAACATCAGAGAGTATGAACAAGTCATCTACTCAAGGAAAACTGAAAAAAAAAAAACCCTACATTTTTCTCTCTGACAATAATAATAATAATAATAATAAGAAGAAGAAGAAGAAGAAGAAGAAGAAAGTGAAGATCATATAAAAATCTGATGGAACTACAAAGTTCCTGCTAATCTTATGTAGAGGGCACGGAAGTATTGCTATGCCAAAAAGAAGTATTGAAACATGAATGCAGGGAGAAGAAGTGCGTAAAGAAAATTGTGTTACTGTGTCTCAATAAAGCAATGAAAAACCGTTGCACTTACAGGAACTTCAATATACCGATTGAACCAACACTGTTTAGTTTAAATGTTCCTTATGCCAACAGTGTAACTGTTAGATGAATTCTACAGAATTTATGCAGGTGCAATTACAAGTCACACAAAACCAGCATTAGCATGGGGTAATAGACTTCTGTGGCAAATAACTGTGTTTAAACCACAAATTTCAACCATGTCAGATAATGAAGGGAAGAGAAACTTCAAGTAAAAGTTTAAAAATATACAGGAGTCTACAACTTCCTTTTAAAATTCGAGTCTTTCTTCTACAAGTCTACTGACTTGTAGAAAAATAATAAAAGCTTGATAGCACATTGGTGATGAGTCCAAAAATACTTTTAAAGCAGGCAGGCTTGTGAATGAAATGGAAATTCAAGACCAGCAGATGGGTTTAACTGCTGTTATATGTGGAGTGGTTTCCAAGAACATTATGTATGTAATAATAAATAGCCAGAGACATAAAGTTTTCCCAGTAGTTTAAATCCTAAGAATATGAGCTAAGAGAGGGCTTTAAGCTTTGGCTCACTGCAACATCCTTACATTTTACCCTTGTCTACAGCAGCAGAAAATGCTTGTTATTGACAACGGGTGTCAGCAATGGGTGCAATTAAAACAGTGCTGAGAACAGTTTTACAAGCAGGCAGGTTTAACATGGCCTTTCTGAAACAAGAATAGATCTTGGCTGTGCTTGCAGGTTAATCACATTCAGCACCAGCATAGTCATTGTCAGCAATGGATAATTACACTAGTGTACACAATGCCTCAATTTGTGCATATGTTTTACATAATAGCTGTTACGAATTGCCTTCGTTTCTCATTCTTGATCTGGATGTGGGAATGCGGATGGGGTGCCACATGTAGGATTCCTGCAGTTTGGATCTAACTGTCTCCGTGCCTTATGCCCTGTTGGTTGGAAGAAAAAGTGAAGTTCCAAAGCCCCATGAGAACAGGCAGCCGCTTTTCTGTCTGTGCTTAAAACACTTCTGGAGTTATCTCCTAAGCCACTAGAAAATGGTTTTGTAAAGTGGCTGCTATGACTAAGTTAAAGCTGCATTTTTTACCACGTATCATTATATTTGACTGACACAAATATTTGTGACATGCAATAAATTTGGAACATATAAAGCTATACGGCTTTGCATAGAAGCACTGAGAAGGAAGGCTGCAAAAGAATGAGTGGAGTTGAGAGAAAGAAGAAATCTACACTGGGATGGAAGCCCAGAAAAAATTATGTTTTTTATCTTCAGTGAAGCCAATTGCTTCACAAACACTTTGTGAGAAACCATGGAGAGGAGTGGTGCTGGGTCCAAGGAATACTGAAGCTCAGTGCAGACCTGTGCTTTAATGCTTACATCTACATGCAGAGATGTACCAGGGATTCTAGTAGTATCAGCATATGCTGAGTGCTATCCTAGGTGAGCTGGAGGTAATGGGAATAGAAGTGGAAGAAGAAAAAGATGAAGA